ATTGATCCAGCTTATGCTTTCAAAAAGAGAAAACAGTCAAATAGGCCAACGTAATATATTAGAAATGTCAACTAAGCCCCCAAATTAAAATAACACCCAATTAAGTCTACAAACTTTACAAAAACAGCCAAATTTCTAATTTAGCAGGTCAACATCCGGTTTCCTGGTGAGTTGTTTACATAGATATCACCAATAGTGTGTACAACAACAACAACAACAACATCCAAGCCTTAGTCCCAAATGATATTGGGGTCGGCTAACATGAATCGATATATGATATCACATTATCACCAAAAGGAAAAGAAAGAAAATAAAGATAAAAAAGATAAGCTATTATAAAAAAAAAGATAATATAAAAGAGATGAATATACATATAAAAGATCAAATAAAAAGGATAAAGTAATATTTATATATAAGGATAAAGATATAAAAGAAAAGGAAAAAAAGAAGAAGAAGAAGAAGAAGAAGAAGAAAAAAGATGATACAAGATCACTCCTCAACACGAATACCCGCCCTCCATTTTGCTCTCTCCAAAGCCATACCCTCATCCAATCCAAGAAGAAGCATATCACTTCTGACTCCCCTAACCCACGTCTGTTTGGGCCTTCCTCTCCCTCTCTTCCCTACCTCTTCTCCACACATCTCAACTCGTCTGACAGGTGCATCACTCGGTCTTCTATGCACATGACCAAACCACCGTAGGCGTGACTCCCGCATCTTATCTTCAATAGGTGCTACTCCCACCCTTTGTCTAATTGTCTCATTCCTCACGCGGTCCTTTCTAGTATGCCCACACATCCAACGCAGCATGCGCATCTCTGCCACACTCATCTTTTGAATGTGACATTGTTTCACCGCCCAACACTCCGTGCCATACAGTAATGCCGGCCTAATTGCTGTCCTATAAAATTTACCCTTCAGTCTAGTCGGCATACCTCGATCGCATAGAAATCCTGACGCACTCTTCCACTTCATCCACCCTGTTCTGATTCTATGGGATACATCTCCATCTAACTCACCGTCCTTCTGAATTATGGAGCCCAAATAACGGAACATATCGCTGACTGGTATCTCCTTACCATCTAAAGTAATTCCGCTATTACCACTGCTTCTACCTCCACCAAACTTGCACTCCATGTACTCTGTCTTGCTCCTACTTAGTCTGAAACCCTTGTTCTCCAATGTCTGTCGCCATACTTCCAACTTTGCTTTAACCCCTGATTGCGTCTCATCAATCAATACAATATCGTCGGCAAACATCATGCACCACGGTATATCGTCTTGAATTGACTTTGTAAGTTCATCCATGACTATGGCAAATAAAAAAGGGCTAAGAGCCGATCCTTGGTGCACTCCGATAGTAATAGGGAACTCCGCAGTCCTCCCTACACTAGTACGGACACTTGTAGTACAATCCTCATACATATCCATGATGATGCTGATATACTTGCGTGAAATGCCTTTTCTAGTTAAGGCCCACCAAAGAATCACCAATAGTGTGTAAGTTTACAAAAATGTGACTATCTATTCACACACTACAAATACCCACAGTAGTTTTAGTAATGCAAGTAGGCACTTAGTAACCTCCCTTTAACATGTAGTCATATTTTTGTTAGTGGGTTTTGAAGTAGTACTACGTAATATTTGTGTAATTTTTTCTCCCTCCGGATCACATGAGTGACGTGGCGATCCACTGTTATTTTTATAGTTTTTTTATTTTTTTTATTTTTCTTTTCCATTTTTTCTTTTATCTTCTTCTACTTTCTTATTCCATCTCCTCTACCCGACCCCTGCGCTTCTCTTCTACCCCCCCCCCTTTTTCTGTTTTTCCATTCTCCCCCCTTTTGCTCCTTCTTCTACGCCACTGTGCTCCTGTCACTTTCTTTGTCCTTCTTCCATGTGAGGAACTCTGGTGTGGAGGGTGGGCGGCAGCTATGGCGGTGGAGCTCTGCAGCTCCTGCGTTGATGTCGTTGGACGTTGGTGACGGGAATTAGCTCTAAAAGGTGACCAAGGTCTGTGGAAACTACGGCGGAAGTCCGACGCCCACCTCCGTCGTCGAACATAATTAGAGGGGACGACTTGAATTCCTGGAGAACCCCTTTGGCGCCCACCTCCAATCCATTGAACTCCTCTGGTGAAAGTAACAAGGACGAATCAATGGAAGAATAAAGATGAAGGGTAAGAGAAAAGAAATGACCGGCGGAAGAAAAATTAAGAAGAAAGTGGGGGTCTGAGATATAGGAAGAGAAATGTCTCGCAGAAGAAAAAGGTAGAAGAAAGTAGCGGGAGGAGAGGAGAGGAAAAGAGAAAAAGAGAAATTTGACCCATCATCATAATATCTGGACTGCCACATCATCATCATAAGCCGGTAACCGGACTTTGACCCATTAAATTAGAAATTTGATTGTTTTTCTAAAGAGTTTGATTGATTTTTTTGATATACCATAAGAGCTTATATGACAGTTTTCCCTTTAAAAAAGAAGCAGAAGTAGAATCAATTTTAAACACATCCTTATTGCAATCATTGATTAATGTTCACATGTGGTCATATGCAATATTGGTGTCTTATGAAAGATAATAAAAAATTATGAATTTTGATATACTCCCTCCGTCCGGAATTGAATTGCAATCTTTGACCGGCACAAGGATTAAGGAATGACAATAAATGATGCTTGCTTTTTACACTTTTGTCCTTCATCCTAAAAGTAGACGCATTTAAGTTAATGAAAAAAGTAAAAGTAAGGTAAATTTGTCAATTTACTCTTATTTACATACTTAAAGTAGAAAGTAGAAAATCATTTTGGGACAACCAAAATAGGAAATTTTGCAAAACAAATTGGGACGGAGGGAGTATATATTTTTTATGCAAATTGAATTACATATGAATTGTGTGGGTGTCCAATTTATGTCAATTTAAGAAATGGAGAGCTTTTTGTGTATGTGGGGGTCCAATTAATTCCAAGTAGCTAATTAACGTAATACAATTTGTCAATTCTAATCTAACTTAAATTGTAGAGTAACACCCTATAATTAATTAATATACTTGTACTAAATTTGGAAAGAGAATCTAAAATATTATAATACATGTTTGGTTAGAAGATGACACATGACAAAACTTTCCACAATTGTATATTTGAAATGTATTATTTATAGATAATTGTGACGAAGACATGTTATTATTAGATTTTAATTATGAATAAATATTAGAGTGACATGTGGCAATGAGTGAATAATAGTGACACATGACAATATTATTCCTCCAATGTGACTCACAATTGTATAATATATAGGTATAGATATAGATTTTAGAGAACCAAAGGGTCTTGCACTAATCTATCACATATTTTTTGTCACATCTCTCCTAATTTTTTAATGACAAAACCACTTTGGCATATATTTTAGTTTAGGTTTGATAAGGATATGCTAATTAATCCATGGTAAATTCTTGAAAAGACCCTTTTAAGGGACTTATTGTCTTGAGATACATGGAAATTGACATGGAGTCGTGAAAAAAAGTTGTATCGGTTTGTGACAAATCAGTATTGAATTCGTTGTTTTACTTAGGATGTTTTCTTTTGGACTGAAATTTGCTGATCTGGTCTATTCTGATCTGGTCTGGTCTGGTCTGGTCTGGTTTGTTTAAGTCTGGTCTGGTCTGAACTAGTCTGGTCTGGTCTGGTAAACGTCTGGTCTCTGTGTATTTTATAACTATCCATGTCTGGTCTGGTCTGGTCTGTTTAAGTCTGGTCTGGTCTGGTCTGTTTAAGTCTGGTCTGGTCTGGTCTGGTTAAGTCTGGTCTGGTCTGGTCTGTTTAAGTCTGGTCTGATCTGATCTGGTCTGGTCTGGTCTGGGACTGAAAACAGTCCAAAAGAAAACATCCTTATAGTCCTTGTGTAGTTGTGTTTGATTTTATGATTCAATGTTTCTTTGTTAAAGATTCACTTGTCGATTAATTGGAGCACAAACCGATTAACGAGAATAAATTAGATTCCTATATTCAAGCATATTTATAGAGTTTATTGAATGCTCAAATAAAAAATAAAACATCGGTCGAGCCATCCGGTAACACTACCAAAATGGCATCCTTATTGAATGCTCAAATAAAATGCATAGTCATCAAGTTATGAGCTTGCAACGAAATAACACTACTATCTAAATGCGTCGAACTTGTGATATAGATGTATCGGCTTACTCGGCTTGTCGACAAACCTTATTGAAACCAACACATGCCATTTTGGATTGTTTTATTTAGATAATATATGTAATCGAAACCATCCTTGAGCTTTGAATACTAATTCACTTCTCTTCATCAACTAAAAAAATGAATATTTTAACAACTTATATGACATCTAAACTCTCATATAAGAACTAGTATTATTTACCTGATGAAAAGAAGAGGCCTTATTCTAGTGTGTGGATGAAACTGTAGAAGTACTTCTTGGTGCTCCAAATTGCTTCTAAAAGTAGTTTTTAAAAGCTGTGTGAAATCAACTTATGAAAAACTAATTCTAATTATGGTTCTATTTTTAAAAAATAAGCTGGAGCCGAATCAATTCTAAACACCCCTCTATGACCTAAGTACTAAAGCTTATTTTTGGGGGACTAAGAGGGGGCGCTTGGCCCCTCATCCACCCAGGTCCTCCATTGAATGCCGTCGAACCATAATTGCCCACAAGAAAGGACAGGGCAGCTCTTAGTGCAACGCAGAGTGGTGAGATATTTCCCCACGAAATTAATTATGTTGAATATAATTATATGTAAAAAATTAAAGGGGAAATTCATAACAATAATTCATACTTTCGGAGATTCTACAATAATCCCTACTCACACTGTCCACAAAAATAATCCGAACTAGCAAATGTGTTCATAAGAATAAATTGGGTTCGATTCAAATTAATGTACGTTTAATACTCACAACCCTTTTTCCCGCTTTTCTTCCCTCGACTCTTCTTTTCGGGACAAATTCAAACTAAAACTTGTTTAATATCAAAATCATTTCTGCCATATGTGGTTCTCTCTAGATTGAAACATCAAAGTGTGAATCGAAGTGTCACGCCCCAGACCGCATCTAAGCGCGTGTACAACCGCCGTATGACTAAATGACGTCACCCGCGAGTCAACGTGACTTAGTCAAACAAGGCGTCCATGAACATAGTCCATAACATACTCAGTAAGTAAACATACATAACAACATCACATATTAGGATTGAACGAATAGCGGAAATATTCAATATTCAATCATGGGCCACACATGGCCAAAACGTAGGCACGCAGGCCCAAAACAAATGTATTTATTACAAAGTATCCATGAGCATAGTTTGTGGTTTAAAACAGTAAAGGAAGCACGAACCACGTCTTCCTTTGGAACACTTCACCAAGCAAGGTGAGAATAGTAACTTGAGTTTCAACCTGAAATGGTGGGCCCCCCCGAAGGGGTCAGTACAAGTACCGAGCGAGTAGCAAGCTAAATGTAGAATAACTAACGTTTTAAGTATAAGACCCAAACATAGGGTGATACATATACGTATAGTCTTTCCCCCAAGTTTTGAAATACATATTAGTATATATACACTTGGAAATACACGACCCGTAGGTCATTGTTTATTTGGGAAAATAAAAGAAGCCAATGTCCTTGACTTAAATCCAAACCCACCCATATACCTATGAGTGTATAGAACTCCTCCTTGTTCGAGTAAATTACCTTAGGGACACCACCCGGTCCTAGATTATTAAATGTAATCTATGAGTTTTGAGGATACACGCCCGATCCTTGGGTACTCCACCCTATAACCGAGTTTTGAGGATAACCGCCCGATCCTTGGGTACTCCACCCTATATAACTGAGTTTTGAGGATAACCGCCCGATCCTTGGGTACTCCACCCTATATAACCGAGTTTTGAGGATAACCGCCCGATCCTTGGGTGCTCCACCCTATATAACCGAGTTTTGAGGATAACCGCCCGATCCTTGGGTACTCCACCCTATATAACCGAGTTTTGAGGATAACCGCCCGATCCTTGGGTACTCCACCCTATATAACCGAGTTTTGAGGATAACCGCCCGATCCTTGGGTACTCCACCCTATATAACCGAGTTTTGAGGATAACCGCCCGATCCTTGGGTACTCCACCCTATATAACCGAGTTTTGAGGATAACCGCCCGATCCTTGGGTACTCCACCCTATATAACCGAGTTTTGAGGATAACCGCCCGATCCCTGGGTACTCCACCCGACCTATGACTTACCACATATCACACTAGATAGGGTCTACATCATATTATTACTAAAGGCTAAACCAAGTCTTTGAATTAAATCAATAAATATCAACCTTGACATTTAATATCATATTCCATGCAATTCCATGCACAATATACACACATAGGTTGTACGGGATCAACCCCCCTTTGAACCGGGCTCCGATTCGCGTTTTCGGCGAAAACGTAATATGGAGGCAGCAGCTTACCCGGCCCCGGGTATGCCCTATACCCGGCGCCGGGTATGTTCGGAGTTTTGGGTCAACGGCCCGTTGACCCCCGAGTTGACCCCCGAAACGTGATCCGTTTGACCCGAAATTTTTATACAACCTATATCATGTCTAAAACAACCAATAAATGCCATTTTGGTCATCCAAAACATCACAAATGTTTTTATACATTTTTCATATTCTTCACATGCATCATCATGTAGTTTTATTCACATAGGCCTAATTACCTAGGCTAATTACATGCTTAAACTCTTTTAAACATCATTATGAATACTTATAACATTTATTTAGGTAATCTCATACTTAACCCAAGAGTTATAAGACATTAAGCCGTCCACTCACCTCGAATGAGCGTTATGAAGTTCTACCCTTCTCGGTTGAACCCCGGTGAAACTCCGGCGAGTTTTGTTGAACTCCGGCGACTATTCCGGCGACTCTTTCAACTTTGTGAAAGCTATTAAATCACCTTATACAAGTTCCTAACAAGGTTTTAACATCATAAAACCTTAATCAATACAAATAACCCTTAAAAGGTTATTTTCCGGTGAACCGGTCGTTTTGGCCTCTATGTCCGTTCTTGGACATAGAACCATCTCCAACCCATGATTCCACACTTATATCATGTAGAACAATACTATAGGTTCTTCACGGGATCTATAATTCACATGATGAACAAAGTTGGAAGAAAAGTTATCAAGGGCTTCATACCTTTATTTCCAAGGATTTTGCACTATTTCGTAACTCTTTCTTCTTCCTTGATCTTTTTGCTCCCTTGAACTCCCTTCAACAATGGAGAAGAGCTAGAGATATTCTTTCTCTAGGCTGGCATGGGTTGGCCGAATGATTAAGGGGAAAAGGGTGGGTGTTCCCTTTTTTGTCTCAATGGTGAGAGTGGTGTGGGGGAGGGTCCACCTTGTTTATTTGATGCCTTTTCCTTCACCTCACACCTCTCCTATGCTCCCTTATCACACCATCCGCCCCACTCCCTGATTTGGGTGACAAAAATATGGGGTGGCCCCCATATATGTGGGTGGTCATCCCTTTAACTCCCGAACAGTACAATTGGCTCCGAAAGTTGTATTTTTCGGACTGTTTTAATTATATTTTATTTTACCGGGTCAAATAAAATATATTACATGTTCACAATCATTATGGATCTTAAGAGTGAATATACATTCCCCAACTTTACTTTAAAAAGTCTCCGAAATTCATTTCAGACTGTTATCTGCAAAATTGCCGGTACTGGAAATTGGGCCCTGTTTGACAAACCGGTCAACCCAATGCCTTTCTCATGGCCCATTATGAATGTCCACCATCATGTAACTATTATCTAGACCAAGATGAATATAACATGTGGTCTCGTGTTATCGGGTTACCCCCGCTCCGAGTGTGGGCCCCGCGTGGAATTTACTCTTCACGCAAAAGAAATAACAAAAATTTACAACCTCGTAAATTCATTACTGGACACGCCATGTTCAATACATAATTTACATAAAGGTAAATATATTTGGGGACGGTGTTACAAGTTCACCCCCCCTTATTTGGGATTTCGTCCCCGAAATCAACGTGTCTAATCAAAAAGAAACGGGTATTGCTCCCTCATTGAGACCTCAGTCTCCCAGGTTTCTTCTTCGACTCGATCACTCCTCCAAAGCACCTTCACCATAGGAATCTCCTTGTTCCTAGGCTTCTTTACCTGTTGGCCCACTATCTTTACCGGTTCTACTGCGTATTGCAAGTCCTCTCGGATCTCCACCGGTGGCTTCTCAAGAATATGCGACGGGTCCCGCACATACTTCTTGAGCATCGATACATGAAACACATCATGAATCTTCTCAAGTTCCGGTGTCAACTTGAGACGGTACGCAACGGCCTCAATCCTTTTAAGGATTTCGAATGGACCAATGTATCGAGGGTTAAGCTTACCCCTTGATACGAATCGGATGATGCCTTTTCAAGGAGAAATCCTTAGAAAAACTTCATCCCCGACCTCGAACTCCAACGGCCTCCGCCGTTTGTCTGCATAGCTCTTTTGCCGATCTTGGGCAGCTTTAAGTCTGTCACGAATGATTTTCACCTTAGCCTTGGTGATCTCAACAAGTTCTATTCCCTCGAGCTTGGCCTCACCAACCTCGTCCCAACACAATGGTGTCCTACACTTCCTCCCGTACAGTGCTTCGTACGGAGGCATGCCAATACTTGCCTGATAACTGTTGTTATAGGCAAACTCCACCAAAGCAAGGTGTTTGTCCCAACTCCCTTGGAACTCTAAGGCACATGCCCTAAGCATGTCTTCCAAAATCTGTATCACCCGCTCCGATTGTCCATCTATTTGTGGGTGAAAGGCTGTGCTAAACCTCAGTTTAGTACCCAATGATGCTTGAAACATTGGCCAAAACCTGGATGTGAATCGTGGATCCCTATTCGAGACAATGGATATCGGGACTCCATGAAATCTCACGACCTCCTCCACATATAACTTGGCCAACCTTTCAAGAGGATAAGTAATGTTGATAGGTAAGAAGTGTGCGCTCTTGGTGAGCCTATCAACCACTACCCAAACCGCGTCATAGTTGTTCACTATCCGTGGTAGCCCTACCACGAAGTCCATGGTCACATGTTTCCACTTCCATTCTGGAATGGTAAGTGGCTGCAAAAGCCCTGCCGGGTGTTGATGCTCCGCCTTAACCTGCTGGCAAGTAAGGCATCGACTCACATATTCTGCGATGTCTCTCTTCATCCCTGACCACCAATAACTTTCTTTCAAGTCTCGGTACATCTTAGTACCCCCTGGATGCATGGCATAGGCCGAAGAATGAGCCTCCTCAAGTATGGACTTTTGGAGCCCTTCATCCTTTGGTATGCAAACACGATCCTTAAATAACAACAGACCATCATCACGTATACGAAAGTTCTCAACGGGCCCCTCAAGGATCCGTTCACGGATCTTCTGACATTCCTCATCAATGGCCTGACATCTACTGATCTCACCCAGCAATGTAGGCCTAACCTCGAATCTAGCAATGAGGGTCCCACACGTGGACACCTTTACGCGTGCCCTCAATGCCCGAAGACATGTGAGTAACGTCCCCGACGTACTCTTCCTGCTCAGTGCATCGGCCACTACATTGGCCTTTCCGGGATGGTAATCGATGACCAAGTCGTAGTCCTTGATCAACTCCATCCATCTCCTCTGTCTCATATTCAACTCTTTCTACGTGAATACATACTTCAAGCTCTTATGATCGGTATAAATGTGCCATGTCTCCCCGTAGAGATAATGCCTCCAAATCTTCAGTGCAAACACCACCGCCCCCAACTCTAGATCGTGGGTAGGGTAGTTCACCTCATGATTCCTCAATTGCCTCGAAGCATAGGCAATCACCTTACCCCTTTGCATCAACACACACCCAAGTCCTTGGATGCTAGCATCGTTATAGATATCGTACCCTATCCCCTGCTTGGGTAGGGCAAGAACTGGTGCCTCGGTAAGTCGTTTCTTCAGCTCAAGAAACCCTTTCTCACATTTGTCATCCCATATAAACTTAGCCCCCTTCTTTGTGAGCTTCGTCAATGGAGATGCCAACACGGAGAATTTCTCTACGAACTTACGATAGTATTCCGCTAGGCCAAGGAAACTACGTATTTCTTTCATATTTTTGGGTCTCTCCCAATCAATGATGGCCTTTATCTTGGCGTTATCCACCGCAACGCCCGAACCGGATATGACATGCCCGAGAAAGCCAATCTCTTTGAGCCAAAATTCACATTTGGAGAACTTGGCAAAAAGTTGTTTTTCTCTAAGCCGTTCAAGTACTAGCCTCAAGTGGTGTTCACGCTCCTCCTCGTTTTTGGAGTATATCAAGATGTCGTCAATGAATACTATCACGAATTGATCCAAGTATTCACTAAACACTCGGTTCATCAAGTCCATGAATGCTGCCGGTGCATTGGTTAACCCAAATGACATTACAAGAAACTCATAGTGACCATATCTAGTGCGGAATGCACTCTTAGGTATGTCACTCTCCTTGATCTTCAACTGATGATAACCCGACCTCAAATCAATCTTTGAAAACACCATCGCCCCCCCCCCCCCCCCCCCCCCCCGAAGTTGATCGAACAAGTCATCAATCCTCGGTAATGGATACCTATTCTTGATTGTGACCTTGTTCAATTGTCGGTAGTCTATGCACATTCTCAATGTGCCATCCTTCTTCTTCACGAAGAGTACATGTGCTCCCCACAGTGAATGGCTAGGCCTAATGAAGCCATTGTCCAATAACTCTTGCAATTGGACCTTTAATTCTTGAAGCTCTGCCGGTGCCATTCGATAAGGAGGAATCGAAATGGGTTTTGTTCCCGGATCTACTCCGATCACAAACTCGATCTCTCTATCGGGTGGAAGTCTCGGTAAGTCCTTGGGAAAGACATCCAGATACTTGCACACGACACGCACATCGTTGATGTCGACCTCCTTCTTTGTTTCGTCCACCACGTAAGCAAGGTATGCGTGACTTCCCTTCCTCATTATCCTCCGTGCCTTTATCACGGATATGATGCAACTATGAGGCCCTCCCCGATCTCCCTCGAAACGTAGAGCGTTTCCATCAGCATCTTCGAGTTCTAACACTGACGTGCACTTTGTCGTGAGGTGCACTCAAAATAAATATCAATACGACACTAATACATAGTATAGCGAAGTAAGGTTCGTATCCACAGGGAAAGGAATATTTCTCTTTTTAATTAACTAGTAACAAAGGGGGCATTTTAGATTTGATTTGATTTAATTAACACTAAGATGAATGACTTAAATGAGTTTAATTAATGAGAAGAAGACTTGGCTTTGCTTTTATCCACTTAATGAAATGTTCGTCGATCCCGGTTATATCTTTAACTATCTTCCTCTCGAATACTCAATCGAGGAGTATATCCAGTTCATCGAGGGTAGTTATTAATAACGAGAAGCATTCATTAATAAAACTTACTATCGAGTCAATATAGAACAAGCGCCGTATATTAAATTGATAGTAGCAATAAACTTAAGATGAAAACGATTGAGATTGATAACCTCAACACAAGCGGTTTATTGGTTTAATCAATATAATTAATTCCCCTTAGATTATTAACCATGAGATGCATGCATTAATAATCCAAGTTTACTACCATGAAAGGACCGAGTTAATAACAAGCGTATTAATCGACCGATTCTAGTATTAATTAATATATGAAACAAAACTAGTTGATCCTTTAAGTAATGTTCAAAATATTAATATGAAATATAAATAGGAATTAATTAATACTCAAGAAAGAATATTAAAGAAGATGAATCCTACTATAGTTAATATTAAGATGTTAACTAATTGTCATCTTAGTAACACTCCCCAATATTAACGTAGAGGAAGAAATAATTATTACTATAACTAATGTCAAGATGTTAACTAATTGTCATCTTAGTAACACTCCCCAACATTGATATAGAAATAGTATTTAAAGGAAGAATTAATATTCAAGGAAGAAGATTAAAGAGAATAACTCACAACTTACAAATTCATTAAGCTTCAAAGTAGCAAAACCAAGATGGAAGAGTTTAGATCCTCATTTGGAGACTAAACATACTATAAAAATATAAAAGAAATACTATTCTAAACCGAGCTTAAGAGTATGGAAGAAGGGATGCTTAAAAGTGAAGGAAAATGGGGCTATTTATAGGTGTTTTGAAGGTGCTGCACCGGATACCCGGCCGGGTATTTGAGATACCCGACCGGGTATTTGTCAAAATCAAATATTTTCCCCACGATTTTGTGTTTTCTGCACGTCTTTTTGTCCGGGTCACTTCATACCCGATCGGGTAAAGGCTATACCCGACCGGGTAAGTCACCAAATCACATTTCTTGCATGATTTCTTGTTCCCTTGCACTTTCCTTTGATCTTGTAAGATCCCTTCCATGATCCTTTGTTGATTCTTGATTGTTTCTTGCTCAAGATGATTCTAAATTTACTAAATTACAACAAACTAGAAAAATAAAATGATTGCACCTTAAATGTGCAATTACCACAACAACACACCATAAAAAGTAATTAAAAGTAAAAATATAAACACTCAAAAATCAATGCAATCAAACACCTTGGCGTAGCAATCTACCCGAGCATGATACTTCTCGAGCCAATCCATCCCTAGGATTGCATCGAACTCCAACATACTCAGAGGTACGAAGTCACAAGTCAAGGGTTGACCCGTTACTTCTACCTCACACGATGGATAGTATTGTTTCCTCTCCACATCGTCTCCCAACGGTGTAGAGACCAACAAGGGTTGAGTCATTGCTTTCAACGGTACGCCTAAACTTTCGGCAAACGCTTCACTCACAAATGAACGTTGTGCACCGGTATCAATGAGAATCCTCGCGTTTCTACCATTGATCTTTAGTGTTCTTACATGTATGAGCCATGTAAGACACACTACTCGACGTACTGGACGAAAATAGGGCTCAACGAAAATTTTTCGGACATAAATACACTGGACCGGCGCCGGGTATAGGCCTGGCCGGCGCCGGGTAAGCTACTGGAATCGGAAAGTGGCAAAAATGAATCGGGCTGGCGCCGGTTATGGCCCAGACCGGCGCCGGTTCTCCCCTGGGCTGCACACTTCGGAAATTTCTCCCTGGGCCGGCGCCGAGTATAGCCCCTGGCCGGCGGCGGGTAAGCTACTGCCAGCCCGCATTTCACCCCTTTTTCACTAGACCGGCGCCGGGTTAAGCCCAGACCGGCGCCGGTTCATCCCTGGGCAAGTTTAACTTCGTTTTTCGCTTGAAAACAAGCCGAAAATGTCGTCGGTTGACCCGTACATGCTCCCTAAAGCTTATAACACATATGTATATGAAAAATATAAGGGTGAACAAGGGATTACCTGCAACGGAGTTGGGGTTGGACCGAGCATTGGCCTCGGTCATGGCATAGACCCCTGTTTGGGCCTTGTCTTGGTTGACGGACGTAACACTGCCCGCTATCGCCTCCGTACAGCTTCTTTCCACCACGACCCCTTCCCCGACTCTCGATGCCCCTCCTTTACCCCTCCATGGGCAACTTGGTTTCATATGACCCGTGCTCCCACATTTGAAACACATCGGGGGTTCGTTACACCTCCCAAAATGTCTCGTAGAGTAATTTGGACATTTAGGTGGTCTCGAAGAGTAAAGCCATGACGTATGCCACCTTGACTTCTTTTTCTTTTTCACCGGTGATGCCGGTGCCTTAGAAGAACCTTCTTTTCCTTGGTTGCTCCTCCACAAATGGACTTGGCTGACGGTCATATTATGTTGGTAAGTAGCTCGATCATATCCAGCCCGACGCCTACGTTCTTTTCTTCGCCACCCCTTTTTGTACCGCTCCTGAACCTCCACCGTTTGATCAAAATGGAAGTCATTCTTCATGTCATTGACGTAATAGTCCTTCTCATCGCATGGGGCTTGCTCATGTCCCATTTCTGGGATATGAGTTTCATCATTTCTCTCAGCGTTCGTATTACCCACCGCGTTCACGTGACCATCAATCACTATTCCGTCTGGGCAACCCTCACGGCCCCCACGACCTCCTTCTCTTCCCCTAAGCGCTCGCGACATAGCCCGGATAGCTCCAAGGGAAGCTACCGATGCTTGTCCTCTAGGGTCATTTCTTGTTGTCATGTGTTCATTCTCCATTTCTGAAAGAAAGTGGGATGAGTCGTTAGACTCCTATCAATGTCAATTGACGGAAAACGTTATAGACACGTATTGGCCTAGGTCACCGCCATACCAATTGGTAAGGGTACCATCTTAACAACCAGAGACCTTGCAACTTAGGTAACAATAGTTCTATAAGCGTCAAAATACAATGCTCATGGTTTTCGGTAAAACTCTTTTGTAAAATCTCTTGTGAGAGGTTGATTACATAGTTTAGAAACTGAGATAGCTCTGATACCACTTAATTGTCACACCCCAGACCGCATCTAAGCGCGTGTACAACCGCCGTATGACTAAATGACGTCACCCGCGAGTCAACGTGACTTAGTCAAACAAGGCGTCCATGAACATAGTCCATAACATACTCAGTAAGTAAACATACATAACAACATCACATATTAGGATTGAACGAATAGCGGAAATATTCAATATTCAATCATGGGCCACACATGGCCAAAACGTAGGCACGCAGGCCCAAAACAAATGTATTTATTACAAAGTATCCATGAGCATAGTTTGTGGTTTAAAACAGTAAAGGAAGCACGAACCACGTCTTCCTTTGGAACACTTCACCAAGCAAGGTGAGAATAGTAACTTGAGCTTCAACCTGAAATGGTGGGCCCCCCCGAAGGGGTCAGTACAAGTACCGAGCGAGTAGCAAGCTAAATGTAGAATAACTAACGTTTTAAGTATAAGACCCAAACATAGGGTGATACATATACGTATAGTCTTTCCCCCAAGTTTTGAAATACATATTAGTATATATACACTTGGAAATACACGACCCGTAGGTCATTGTTTATTTGGGAAAATAAAAGAAGCCAATGTCCTTGACTTAAATCCAAACCCACCCATATACATATGAGTGTATAGAACTCCTCCTTGTTCGAGTAAATTACCTTAGGGACACCACCCGGTCCTAGATTATTAAATGTAATCTATGAGTTTTGAGGATACACGCCCGATCCTTGGGTACTCCACCCTATAACCGAGTTTTGAGGATAACCGCCCGATCCTTGGGTACTCCACCCTATATAACTGAGTTTTGAGGATAACCGCCCGATCCTTGGGTACTCCACCCTATATAACCGAGTTTTGAGGATAACCGCCCGATCCTTGGGTGCTCCACCCTATATAACCGAGTTTTGAGGATAACCGCCCGATCCTTGGGTACTCCACCCTATATAACCGAGTTTTGAGGATAACCGCCCGATCCTTGGGTACTCCACCCTATATAACCGAGTTTTGAGGATAACCGCCCGATCCTTGGGTACTCCACCCTATATAACCGAGTTTTGAGGATAACCGCCCGATCCTTGGGTACTCCACCCTATATAACCGAGTTTTGAGGATAACCGCCCGATCCTTGGGTACTCCACCCTATATAACCGAGTTTTGAGGATAACCGCCCGATCCCTGGGTACTCCACCCGACCTATGACTTACCACATATCACACTAGATAGGGTCTACATCATATTATTACTAAAGGCTAAACCAAGTCTTTGAATTAAATCAATAAATATCAACCTTGACATTTAATATCATATTCCATGCAATTCCATGCACAATATACACACATAGGTTGTACGGGATCAACCCCCCTTTGAACCGGGCTCCGATTCGCGTTTTCGGCGAAAACGTAATATGGAGGCAGCAGCTTACCCGGCCCCGGGTATGCCCTATACCCGGCGCCGGGTATGTTCGGAGTTTTGGGTCAACGGCCCGTTGACCCCCGAGTTGACCCCCGAAACGTGATCCGTTTGACCCGAAATTTTTATACAACCTATATCATGTCTAAAACAACCAATAAATGCCATTTTGGTCATCCAAAACATCACAAATGTTTTTATACATTTTTCATATTCTTCACATGCATCATCATGTAGTTTTATTCACATAGGCCTAATTACCTAGGCTAATTACATGCTTAAACTCTTTTAAACATCATTATGAATACTTATAACATTTATTTAGGTAATCTCATACTTAACCCAAGAGTTATAAGACATTAAGCCGTCCACTCACCTCGAATGAGCGTTATGAAGTTCTACCCTTCTCGGTTGAACCCCGGTGAAACTCCGGCGAGTTTTGTTGAACTCCGGCGACTATTCCGGCGACTCTTTCAACTTTGTGAAAGCTATTGAATCACCTTATACAAGTTCCTAACAAGGTTTTAACATCATAAAACCTTAATCAATACAAATAACCCTTAAAAGGTTATTTTCCGGTGAACCGGTCGTTTTGGCCTCTATGTCCGTTCTTGGACATAGAACCATCTCCAACCCATGATTCCACACTTATATCATGTAGAACAATACTATAGGTTCTTCACGGGATCTATAATTCACATGATGAACAAAGTTGGAAGAAAAGTTATCAAGGGCTTCATACCTTTATTTCCAAGGATTTTGCACTATTTCGTAACTCTTTCTTCTTCCTTGATCTTTTTGCTCCCTTGAACTCCCTTCAACAATGGAGAAGAGCTAGAGATATTCTTTCTCTAGGCTGGCATGGGTTGGCCGAATGATTAAGGGGAAAAGGGTGGGTGTTCCCTTTTTTGTCTCAATGGTGAGAGTGGTGTGGGGGAGGGTCCACCTTGTTTATTTGATGCCTTTTCCTTCACCTCACACCTCTCCTATGCTCCCTTATCACACCATCCGCCCCACTCCCTGATTTGGGTGACAAAAATATGGGGTGGCCCCCATATATGTGGGTGGTCATCCCTTTAACTCCCGAACAGTACAATTGGCTCCGAAAGTTGTATTTTTCGGACTGTTTTAATTATATTTTATTTTACCGGGTCAAATAAAATATATTACATGTTCACAATCATTATGGATCTTAAGAGTGAATATACATTCCCCAACTTTACTTTAAAAAGTCTCCGAAATTCATTTCAGACTGTTATCTGCAAAATTGCCGGTACTGGAAATTGGGCCCTGTTTGACAAACCGGTCAACCCAATGCCTTTCTCATGGCCCATTATGAATGTCCACCATCATGTAACTATTATCTAGACCAAGATGAATATAACATGTGGTCTCGTGTTATCGGGTTACCCCCGCTCCGAGTGTGGGCCCCGCGTGGAATTTACTCTTCACGCAAAAGAAATAACAAAAATTTACAACCTCGTAAATTCATTACTGGACACGCCATGTTCAATACATAATTTACATAAAGGTAAATATATTTGGGGACGGTGTTACACGAAGTGGAGAGTGGTGAATGGAAAAGTGGAGGTAGGGGTTGAGAGTAATAAATGGACATTAATTTGAATTCATTCTAATTTATTCTTATGGACACTATTGCTAGTACATATTATTTTTATAGACACTCTCAGTACGGATTATTCTTGTAGAACTCATAAAAGTCGGGATTATTCTTGTGAATTTCGCCAAAATTAAATAGTATTGCAAATTTGACATGCACTTTTAATTTTATTTTGAATATATATCAAATTATATATTCATTTCCCGATGGAGACAATAGTAATGAATAAAGTTGAAAATCATCATTTGGCTTAGCCCCGTTGTGATATGAGGGCGACGACGCTGAGCGTTGGTCATAAGATTTTGGCGACGATGATGATGGCCAGCCATTATAAGATGAGGTGACCGTAATGAGGACCGTTCGTGATGAGGGTGACAACGCAATGCAAAAAGACGACCATCACCATCCGGGTGGGGGCGCTTCTCCCTCCCCCCTCCCCCCCTCTCTACATTCAATGGTATATGCTTATTGATGTGTTGACTCCCTATTTATTGAACCATCTGATTTCTGATTGTGCCACTTGAATTTGTATAGATTTTATTTCATGTGTGAAATGCATCTAATGTTTGAGATGGGAATGAATTGAATTTCAACAATTGGATTTACGATATTGCACTAATACAACTTCATATTGCACTAGGATTTATATTTTGCGATGTTGCACTAAAACAATTTCATACTGCTCTAGGAATTGGCGATGTTGCACTAAAACAGCTTCATATTGCATGAGAGAGGTGTAATAAAGATTTTTCAAAAGTATGTACAAAAATGTCACATTGTATGGTTGCATATTCCTGTGCAACGTAAAACTCTTCTATTGTAACATAGTCGAATCCGATAGTTGTGATACATTCTTATTTCTCACATTTTATACAAAACACTCTTTTTTGTAAATAACACTAGTGTGTATAATATTGTATACAATTCGGTTCAAATGAGAAAATGATATTAGGAGAGAAATGAAAACAAATTTGGACTGATGGATTGTATTATGTGATTTTGAATGTGCATTAGATGATACTGAAGTGTGCATGCATTAGGCGAAATTGAAATGAGCAGCACATAGAGCATGACACAATGACATTATGTTAAGTTGAATTGTGCATTAGGTGAAACTGAAATGTACATTAGATAAAATTGAAATGTACATAATAACATATACAATGTGGTGGCATTTTGGTATCTTTATTTCCACACATTTCAATTTCATTTAATGCACATTTGAGTTTAACTCTTTTTCTACACATTTCAATTCACCTAATGCACATTTCAGTTTCACCAAATGCAATTCAATTTTACATAATACTGTCAAGCGGTCTTGGTTTATTCTCCTTTCTTTCTTGGGAGTCATTTCTCACTGGAGAGAGAGAGAGAGAGACAAAGTGATTGATTTTATACAAAACAAAATCATTTTGATTATAAATTCTATGTAGCAGTTGAATGCATTCTTCATTGCTGGCGCCTGGAAGTAGTTGATCCTGGAAAACGAGCAGTAGTAATAGACACAAAAGTCACAAATATATGGGAAGTGAGTAGTGACTAGGGATGGACCGGTCCCGGGTCGGGACCAGGTCTGGCTAAGGGCGGGACTGGGTTTCGGAAATGGAGGCCCGGTACCGGCCCAACTATGTTCCGGGACCGGGCCGGGTACTATATATAGTTTTTTTTGCTTATTAATTCTAACCCCACCCCCAAATCACCCGGCCCAACGTGCCTCTTACCCAAACCATTCCAAGAGGGCTACAGCCCGAGCCCACCCCCAAAACACCCCCGGGTCGGGTCCTAGGCCCGGTCCTGGTCCCAGGAAACCGGGCCGGTCCGGTAACGCACAGTGGCGGTCCGGGCCGGGAACCGGGCCGGTCCGACCAGTCCCGGTCCATCACTAGTAGTGACGTAGGTATTTTGTAATACTTTGGTCTTCATATTTTGGATTTTGGAATGACTTTCTATGTTATTCACAAAATGATTAGTCACTGCACGAGGCCTGTGTTAGGTGTTTTTATAGTGACTAGTTAATAGGTTTTACCAAATTACTAGCGAATAATGATATATGTAGTCACTGAAACATTCATCTTTGGAATGCACATAGGAATCTTACCCTGCAATTATAGTTACTTGGATTAGTGATAACAAATTATCCCTAATGTATTATTCTTGGTAGAATTGTGACCTGTAATGGAGGCGAGTAACTAATCCAGGAATATAATCACTAATGACTGATTAGTGACTGATATACTTGGTCACTAAAATAGGAATTCTGTGTTATATTATGGGAGCACATGGTGAGAGGCGTTCTTAACTCCAAAGACGGAAAATATCCAGAGTTAAAAGACAAACATGACTTTCCTTAGAGAGAAAAAAACTTCTGATACAAATTAATAATACAAAGGTAATGATTTCAGAAAAGAAGTTAATATAGGCGAGAGAAATTAATTTAAAGACTCCACAATTAAAGGACTTGGCAATCATTAAGTGGGAGAAGTCACTTTAGTGAAAAACTGAAAATCATTTAAAGAGTCATATTCTCGGAACTCAATAAGCTATTACTAATATAGGAGTCATTTTTTCTTTTATGAATAAGTTTTATAACAAGAATAAATTTGAAAAATATCTCAAAATTTACTTGCATGAAGTAATTTGTTTTTCTTTTGTTGCATTTGTAAGAAAATGCATTACAAGGTATGGATTACTACATATTCCCAGCACACCCCTTAGGAAGAAAGAAAACCTCTCCTAAGAAATAAAGAGAAACCATCATAAATGTTTGAGGTAAGAATTTGAGAAGTGAGGTATATCCATCACAATCTTTAGGGGCTCTGTTCTCCCACTTTAACCCTAAAGAGCAAAACATATCTTTTCTAACACTCGTGAATGCTAAGTTGCTAACTTCATATTGAACTGGGAAAATACGTTCAGATGATACAGTAACTGTTTGATTTACATCACTTAATTGGCACGTGAAACAAAAATTTGTTCAAGGCTAATGTGGAAATAAATGTTTGTGTTATACTGGAATGGTTGTGATTTGTAACCACATTCAAAATTGACCAATTTGTCAGTTAACACACCATAGAATGTCACTTTTTTCTTGAATTGGGATTTGGGATACCATTGAAGTACACTTAAAGAGCTGGGTACTAAATGGATACAACCATATAATTTGGTACGAATTTGTTATTTTACCTAAAGATCTGCATTTGCTTTGAATTAGGCCACATTAATTGTAAAGGGAAATGTGAGTACTAGAAATGGGAAAAATGCAAGCATGGTGTGCTAAGAAGTGGGAACAACGCATTCGAACCGAAGAGAAAACAAAAACACACATTTGCACAACTTTAAGATTCACAAAATCAAAGGCTAAGAATTTTAACCTGCATCTAGCACATTTGTGAAATGAAATAAACGAAGCGAGCACAACAACCATCCTCACCCAAATCGATATATGTTGCTAAGACAACAGAGGTGACGGCGAATTTGAGGAAGTGCCAAGACCTAAGGCTTCACCCAAAGGCCCACCAGGCATTATTGATGATGAACTCCAAGATTCTACTCCATGGTCTAGCTTACCTTTATCTCTGATGGATTGACCATCAAAGAAATGCTGTGCTGGCTGGATTATCTCATGGTTTGTATTCAAATGCCCTTGAGGAAATATCATGTTGTGGTAGCGAAACAAGTCACTTAATTCTTGCCCACCCCCATCGGGATTCTGATTTGAGGTCAATATGTTGTGCTCATCATTATAATGAGATCTATGTGTGCTCTTCAATCCCAGTGTTGATGAAGAGCATGTACTACCACCACTTCTAGACAACCACCCAAACGACCTTATTAGATAAGTCACGCTTATTTTGAAAAAGGAGCAAAAGGCCATCTTTTTGAAGGATGACCACAAAAGAACACATTAAACTACTAAAGTAGACTAGGAAACTCATGAGCATAATTATATTTTACTAACTAACTAACCTGGTTTGATCAGATGAAGGAGGCACATGAAAGTGACAAATAGGCGTAGTGTTAGTCTTCTGATTACCAGAACTGATTTGAGATTGGATTTCCACATGCTTTCTTGAACGGGGTCGGTTTTTATGAGCATGTCGCTCGCAGTATTTCTTATCGGGCAATACATCCTTGGAGCACCGCCATTTCTTACCATCTGTTCGCTTACACCTCCACCCTTCCAGATCCAATCCGGCTTTATTCTTCAAATTCAATCCAGCTTTGTCATCCAAAAATGAATAAATAAATAAAACCAAGATAAGCCCTTTTTGCAACTTTTGGTAGAATAAACTACCCATCAAGATTCAATTCGAAACAAAACAAAAAACCCTTCAAAAAATAAGAGATATGCCCTTTCCTTTTTACTACGTATTTGGGAGGGGGTGACAATTCAAGAAATTGAAGGAAAAAGGAAATTGAGGAATATTACTGTTGGATTGGGTTCCCAGAAAAGGAAAAAGAAGCTGTGGAGGAACAGGAACGAATGAGATTATGTATTTGTACACTAAAGTCTGCCTCTCCAGTTCTTGCCTCTGAGAAGCTGTAAAGACCGCAGCTTTCCAGGAACCGAATCTTCCTCCTGCGAATCCCAAATGAAATCAAAACAGCCCTAAAAACCCAGAACTCTAATAACGACATACATATGCAGGAGTACGAAGGAGATCGAATTCGTGTACTAGGAAGGACTGCAGAAGTTCCATTCCCGCCGTCATCAGAGGCAGAAATCGCAGCTTCAGAACAGGAAAAGTGAAACTGACAGTGAAGCATAGATTCTTTAGTGCAATCAAGATACGAGGAATCGTCGTCCTGTTCACTGAAACTCACAAAATTCTGAGCTCTTTCCCTGCCGCCCATTTTCGCAACCAACCCTTCAATTTCTCGACAAAGTCCGTTCTTTTTGTTTTACTCAGCTATATGTGTAGAGGTAGAGCTACGCTATGCAGATTGGGTTTCGTTAATGGACATACAAGTGAAAGACGGGTGTTGAGATTTGGTTTTGCATAGTTGCGGTGCCGCCATTTTGCAGCTAGGATCTTCCAATAAGTTGCGCCATTCGGTCCTAAGTTTGGGTTGTATAAATCGCCTTGTTGGGTTGCCTCCCAGCATCCGCCCCGTACGGACTGGGTTATTACAGAACGGTCTCACAGATATCCCAACCGGGTTGAGAAAATCAGCTGATGTAGAATTTAACCGGAGCGTATATACGGCTATATCGTAAGAACCGGACTGGATGTTGACCTGAACAAACCACGGGATCAAGGATCTCCGACTCGGATGGGTCAATTAGGTCAACTGTGTAATCCGGTCAATGGCCATTAAACAAAAATTACGTACCATATATGTATATTTAGCATAATATTAATGTGCGAAAATATGAACTTTTGTCACAAAGTTCAAAATGTCTTTGGAAATAGTTATATAGATACACAACTAGACGAAGTACCCGTGCGATGACGGGATATATCTAGAATTGAATAATGACTTAATTAAAATTTTGTTTTATGATAATACATAATTTGTAACTTTGTCGAATAAAAAAAGACGATAAGTTTTATGTGTTGTTACTTTTATTAATCATATACGTAGTAGTAGTTTTAAGAAAAAGAAAAATTGAATCATAACAAAATTCAACTAAAATTAAAATAAACGATAATGTATAACCAATAACTCTATGTGACAATGAAATAACTTGATAGTACAAATCGGTTTCCGACAATTTGCTAGCACATGCAGTGATTAGCGGTCGGTAGTAATGAATACTCCTCGTATTTTAATGACCGCTACATATGTCTTTGACACATTATTTAAGGAAGAAAGTAGCCGGAGTAATAAATAATGTAGAAAAAGTAAGTGAGAAGGTGTTAACGTGTGAAAAAGAAGGTCAAAAGTATAAAAAGTAAAGGTAAATGAGTATTTTAAAAAAAAAACTAACAAAAATAAAGTGTAGCATACGTTTTAACACGTCCTAAAAAGAAAGTGTGACAAACTTTAAAGTACGAAGAGAGTATCTATAAAGAAAGTACAACAAAGAAGTTTCCTGAGACACTAAGAGCATCTCCAGTGCTACAATGTGCACGGTGCACATGTGTCATGAAAGAGATAGACACAAAAGATTAATTTTATGACATTTCTATCTCACTCTTTCCACGGATTTATGAGTTTTTGGTAAATTTTTGTCTGCAATGTCAACCACAATGTCTACATCTAGACATTGTGCTTGACATTGCGAAGAAAAACTTACCAAAATAATATAAGATCCTTCAAATAAGGAGAGAGATATTTTATTTATTGGGTTTTGATTGGCTATCTCTCATGCCACGTATTAGACGTAGAGTTAATTATTAGCATTGGAGATGCTCTAATTATTGTACTACCAAATTAATTCATTGTCACGTAGAGACGTAGAGTTATTATTATACCTCTTCGTTATTTTAATTTTACTTGCAATTTTTTGTACAATCCAAATTCGCATTTTCTTTCACCTACTACAACGTATATATTTAATATAAGTTACAACATAGAAACTCTATCTTCTTTTTTTTGGGCAAAAGTACACATTAAGTACCATCATGAAACATAATTTTAAATAAGTTAATATTCAATTCTAGATATATGCAGTGCATCACACAGGTACTTCATGTATTTTATATTAAAAATGTTACTTTCATTGCTAGGTGTTGTGGTATTTAATTACTTTACAGTGTTTAGGTTTTAAGTTGTGTAAATTTATATTATCATCATAAAATAATATATTTTTATTTAAAAAGTTAAAGTACTTTTTTCAAAAACTTGTTTTTGCTTAAAATACACACTGATAATTGTATTATCAAGTTATTTCATTGTCACATAGAGTTATTGTTATACCTTATCATTAATTTTAATATAATAGTAATGGTGTTTTATGAGAAAACCTCATTACTTTTTCGGGTTTCATCGTGTTCTCTTATAAACACAAATATTATTCATTATACATGTTTTGAAAATTCAAATTAGGACGGTTGTGCATGTCTTTCTTCCTGAAGTAGGAGTTGTTATTGTCATAATTGAAAATATCGTCAAAAAAGCTAAGATGATCTTCATATTCTACAATAACTTCAGTCAATTCAGTCATAAGAGTAACTACTACCTTACTTATTTTGATTATTACAAATTCACCGTGTGAAATAAAAAATTATGTATGTGATGAAATACACAATGAACTCTTACATAGATCTATAAATTTCCCTCAGAAGTATAAAAGAAAAGATAGTTCCATATGTGCCCAAGTTTTTATGATTCCTAAATAAACTTATTGACATCACTTAACTTTAGAGAATATTATCCGAAATAGGAGTAAAAAAGTTTGAAAATTTCAAAATACGACTATCATGTTTTTATTCTCAAAATATGACTAATTATTGCCATGTTTTGGCAGTACCAGACTTCAAACACGACAGTATTTTTTAAACTTTGCAGTAATTACTCCTATTTTGGGAATAAAACATGACAAACCTATTTTGGATTTTTCAAACCTTTTTAGTCCTATTTCGGGAACTTTCCCTTAACTTTATGAGTGATATTTGACTTTACATCTTATTTTCAAAATTATTAGTGTATGCACCCCAATTCACTATAAAGTCATTTGACTTTGGACCTCATACTTCACAACTTTTGGGCTGATAGGATGCACACATTAATGATTTTGAAAACGGTGTGCAAAATCTAATATCACCTAAAACATGATGTGCAAAGTCAAAATTTTCCTTTCTTTGTTTCTTAGTATATTAAAATTGCATATTTTCTATATTTCCTTAAATTCATATATGAATTTACTCACAAAATCTTACAATTATTGGTGATCATTTATAATTTTACACTTGATGATGAACTTTCAAAATATAAAAAGATGAGGATTTATAATTTTAAACACGAATTTTATATTAATTTCTGAATACAAATGGAAAGTTCATATTTTGATAGAAGTGATGAGCAATTAATCAAAACAAATGTTTCTACATACTCATAACTCATAAATCATATCTACCCCACATGTGAATCGAAGTTGTTACCATAAACTGAGTACCTTAAAATACTTTTATGCAATACAGTACAATTTATATCATTGAGTAATAATAATGAAGTTTAAATTAAAAACAGTTACTTTGTAAAACATTGTTTTGATTAATTGCTCAACGCCTCAACAGTACCATCAAAATATTAATTTTTCCATTTGTATTAAAATGTCAATATAAAAAGCATTGCGAAAATTAGTCAGCCATTACTCCATATTTGGAAATTCTTTCTTGTTTAACTGGCAACAACTTGACTATAATTTTGATGCTAAATATTTCATATTTCCCTTATAAGTGTATTCAAGTAAAAAATATGGAAACTTATATGCTAGAGTAGCCGACATTTAGGATGTTTTCTTTTGGACTGTAATTTGCTTGTATGGTCTAGTCTAGTATGATCTGGTTTGATCTGTTTAAATTTTATCTAGTTTGATCTGAACTGAACTGGTCTGATAAATGTGTGGTCTTTGTATATTTTATAATTGTCAAAGTCTTGTCTGGTCTGATCTCTTTAAGTCTGGTCTGATCTGGTCTGTTTAAGTCTGGTCTGTACTAAAACTGGTCTAAAAGAAAACATCCTTATTTGTTTCCAAATTAATTTACAGGCTTGCCCTTCATTTGGCAGGAATTTTGCCTGCAAAATATGTACTCCCTCAGTCCCGAAATAAACGTCCCGCTTTGACTTTCACACTTATTAAGAAAATGAATTTGATTACACATTGTTTGACACTGTAGCAACACTGTTTGGCACTGTTTTGCACGGTTTGACACTGTTTGGTACATATTTGTTTACCAAATAAGGAAGTTAAAGAAGTGAGACATTTATTTTGGAACAGACCGAAAAGGAAAGCAGAACATTTATTTTGGGACAGAGGGTGTAATACCCGAGATTAATTTAAGAGGATTAATAGTACTACTCATACAAACTGAGGTGCATCTCCTTTTAAGGAAACTCATCACCCAAGAACTCCAAAGTTAAGCGTGCTTGCACGGGAGTAGTCTTGGGATGGGTGACCCCCTGGGAAGTTTCTCAGGGCGTGCATGAGTGAGGACAAAGTGCGCGGTAAAGGCCCGTGGTGGTTTTTGAGGACAGTACTAGAGGTCTGGAGTAACTACCTCGGGTCCTGCAGGGTCGGGGTGTTACAGAGGGAGTAGCATTTTTGCTACTTTAAAGATAGAGATAAAAAATCTCTTTGAGGCAAGAACTTTTTATTTTTGATATATTTGATTAACTTTTTCATCTTCTCTTTCTTAATTTGCCTTTCTCTAAGCCACTTTTTCATCTTTTCTTTCATACTTCTTTGTTACTTTAAAGATAAAGATAAGAATTCTCTTTGGGGAAAGAAGATTTTATTTTTGGTATATGTGATTAACGTTTTCATCTTCTCTTTCTTAATTGAAATAATTCCAAATATATAACTAAAATATAAGCAGTGGACGTACAAAAATGTGACGTTAGTAACTTAAGTGACCACAATTGTGACTTTGTTACATCATAGTGACTATAAAACTTGCACATAGTAACTTATGGTTAGTTTTCTGTCCATAAATTTTAAATAAGTACGGAGTAATATTTTAGGAAAAAACTCTTCTTAATTTGCCTTTTCTTAATCTACTTTTTCACCTTTTCTTAGGGTCCATATCCTTTAAAAATATCACAGTTATTCCTACTCTGTCTAACTTACTGTGCATATGCATATCATTAAACATTTCAATAAATTATGCAGTAGAACCAGTTAGGAATCTTAGGGTGCATATGCCTATCAATATAGTTATTCTTAAGGTGCATATAAGCATATTAGAGTCTTTTTTTTTAAAGAGCATATTAGAGTCTTTAAAGAGCTAAACTCAGTGAGTTGATGTTTAAACTATATATGATATGCTATCAAGTGGGAAAAAACAGAAAGTTGAGATTTTAAAACACAAACCTCAAGTTTATAGGTGTTACAACAAATTCATTCTTATGCCTAAATTCTATAATGGGGGCAGAAGTAAATAGTCAGTGTGATATACTCCCTCCGCCCCCTAACTTTGTCCTGTTTTACCTTTTTCGTCTGTCCCATTAAATTTGTCTCATATCATATTTGGTAATATTTG